ACGCCTTGTCTCCGTGGTCAGAGGACGGTTAAAGAAAGAAAGAAAGAAAGCCTTAAATGCAGGCTTGGGGGGAAGCCCTTCTGCTTCTGGGGGTAGGATCTGTACACAGGACGGCCCTCTCTGTCCCCAAGCAGCAATCATCTCAAGGAATCCTGCTCAGTGTCCGGAGTTAACAGTTTTCTTTTTCTATAGGCTGTGTGAAGGTGTGGGCGCCGTGAATGTTTGTAAGTATCTGCTGGAAACCCCCTAGAAAAGGGCTTTGTTGATGAGCAAAGCTGAACCCTACAGCCAAACCCACTGAACCTGGAATGTTCCCTGACTGGGAGGCAGCCATTCATCCTCTGCTGGCGTTTCACTGGGGCACAAAAGGGTTTATAGGGAAAGCAGGGGTGAGCGCCCTCCCTGGGATCCATGTGAACAGCAGGCCCATAGAAATGGGGCTAGGCAGCTTCGCCCCTCTGGGTTCCCAGGGTCCCCTCGCCCTTCTTGCCCCAGTCCCCTAGGAAGACTGAGATGCTGAGAGGAACAGGCTTGGGCTATTAACCACTAAAACCTTTTGAGGAGGAAGCTCCTGCCATGCAGAAGCCAATTAGGGCCCGCCCCGGGGTTGGAGATATCATGGAGGGCCACTTATCCCAGTGTGTCCCTTCTTCCCACAGGCGTCAGCAGCTCCCGAGGCGGAGTCACCTGTGGGGGCCTCACATGCAGCATCACCCCTGGGCGCCAGATTGTCTCTGGCCCGGTGGCCACTGGAGGCAGCATCACTGTGATGGCACCTGACTCCTGCGCCCCCTGCCAGCCCCGCCCCTCCAGCTTCAGCTGCGGGAGCAGCCGGTCGGTCCGCTTTGCGTAGAGTCTGGGGCCCACTGCGTCCATTTGTGCACAGATGGTGTGTGAATGAAAATGTGTGCTTGCTTCTGGAATCTTCCAAGTGTTCCCACAGAGGGACAGACCCTGGGGCCGCTCCGCCACCTTCTCTTTTTAGGGAGTTGTTTCCTGGTTCTCTTGGCTTTAGTTAGAGAGTCTTTCCCAGCCCTTCACTTAAGTCCAGTTTGACTCAGAAATACCCGTGGCCAATTTGTGTTGCTCATCAAGTTCTCTGGGACATTACCAGTCACCCAAGGTGGCTGGACATCATGGGAGCTTGGCTTTTCCCTGGGACAAGAAATAATTCTAACCATCCTCAGGTCTCCCACAACCTGAGAATCAGAGAGAAGTCCTCCCTATGCTCTCAACCGCCCCCCCCCCCC